GAAATCACTACAAACTTGTGAATCTTGCCTTAAAGGGAAAATGACCAAGTCACCCTACAAAGGGGTAATGGAACGAGCCGAAAGTCTTTTGGATTTGATCCATACAGACGTATGTGGTCCACTAAGTGTTAGTGCGAAGGGTGGATACAACTACTTCGCCACCTTTACCGACGATTATTCTAGGTATGGGTATGTGTACTTGATGAAGTACAAGTCTGAAACATTTGAAAGGTTCAAAGATTTTAGACATGAAGTAGAAAAGCAACTCGGACGAAGTATTAAGAAGCTGCGATCCGATCGTGGTGGGGAATACTTGAGCATCGAGTTCATTGACTATCTAAAAGAAAATGGGATACAGTCCCAATGGACTCCACCGGGAACTCCTCAACTTAATGGAGTGTCCGAACGTCGGAATCGAACTTTATTAGATATGGTTCGATCAATGATGGGGTTCACAAACTTACCGGCATACTTGTGGGGTCATGCACTCCGTACTGCCGCGTATTTGCTGAATAGAGTTAACACCAAAGCAGTTAAATCCACACCTTATGAACTTTGGCATTCCCGGAAACCCAATTACAAACATATTAGGATATGGGGTTGTCCCGCTTATGTGAAGCGATTAGTGGGAGATAAGTTGGATAGCAAATCCGACTTGTGCTATTTTGTGGGGTATCCCGAAGACTCAATGGGATACGAGTTTTATTATGTCAAAGAAGCAAAGACGTTTGTTTCGAGAAATGCCACCTTTTTGGAAAGGGAGTTTCTATCCGATAGAAAGGGCAGCATGATAGAACTTGAAATAGTTCAAGAACCACAAAATGAAGTTCAAACGCAAGAACAAGTAATCGAACCAAAACAACAAACCACTAATATACCTCCTGAACCTACGGTACGTAGATCCGAAAGAGTTCGGAAAATACCGGATAGGTTATTCCTCCTCGAAAATGATGAAGATCATGTTGATCTTGGACGAGATCCAAGAACATACAATGAGGCCGTATCGGATGCGGACATGGGACATTGGCTAACTGCCATGAAATCCGAAATGGACTCCATGTACTCCAACAAGGTATGGACCTTGGTAGATCCACCCAAAGGAATTGTTCCTATTGGCTGCAAGTGGATCTATAAGAAGAAAATTGGAGTGGATGGAAAGGTATCGACCTATAAAGCTAGATTGGTAGCAAAAGGATACACTCAAAGGCAAGGTGTTGACTATGAGGAAACCTTTTCGCCAGTCGCGATGCTGAAGTCCATTAGGATCTTGCTAGCCATAGCTGCGTGGTACGACTACGAGATATGGCAAATGGATGTGAAGACCGCCTTCCTTAATGGAGATATTGAGGAAGAAATTTACATGGCGCAGCCGGAAGGCTTCATATCTTCTGGAAGTGAGCAAAATGTTTGCAAGCTCCAGCGATCCATTTATGGATTGAAACAAGCATCCCGTAGTTGGAACATTAGATTCGACTCAACTATCAAAGAGTTTGATTTTGAGAAGAATCCGGAGGAACCTTGTGTATACAAGAAGGTTAGTGGGAGGGCAGTAATATTTCTAGTGCTTTACGTTGATGACATTCTACTCATTGGGAATGACGTAGGAATGTTACAGCAAACGAAAGCATGGTTGTCCACACGTTTCTCAATGAAGGATTTGGGAGAAGCATCTTACGTATTGGGAATACGCATCTATAGAGATAGAGCAAGAAAGATGCTTGGCTTGTCCCAAAGCCTGTACATAGACACCGTTATGAAACGTTTTAGCATGGAAGAATCCAAGAAGGGATTCTTGCCAATGTCCCATGGGGTTCGTCTCTCGAAATCTATGTGTCCGCAAACACCTAGTGAAATCGAGGAGATGAAAAGGACGCCCTATGCTTCTGCCATAGGAAGCATAATGTATGGCATGCTATGTACGAGACCCGATATTGCGTATACTGTGAGTGTCACAAGCAGATATCAGTCTAACCCCGGCCCGGCTCACTGGAAAGCCGTGAAAGATATCCTCAAGTACTTGCGAAGGACTAAGGATATATTTTTGGTCTATGGGGGTGCCGAGTTGAAATTAGAGGGTTTCACTGACTCTAGTTTTCAATCGGATGTGGACGACTCGAAGTCGAATTCTGGATTTATATTCACGCTTAATGGTGGTGCCGTGTGTTGGAAGAGTTCCAAGCAAAGCACGACGGCCGATTCCACTACCGAAGCGGAATACATTGCAGCGTCCGAAGCTGCAAAAGAAGGGACTTGGATAAGGAAATTCATCCAAGAGTTGGGTGTCATTCCTGATGCTAGTGATCCAGTACCGTTGTACTGTGATAACACCGGAGCCGTGGCACAAGCTAAGGAGCCGCGATCTCATCAGAAGTCGAAGCATATTCTGAGGAAGTATCACGTGATCCGAGAGATCATTGATAGAGGTGAAGTTAAGGTAGAACGAGTCACCTCGGAAGAGAACGTAGCAGACCCCTTCACGAAGCCTTTACCAAGATCGGTCCATGAGAAACATCGAGAGTCGATGGGATTGCGGTTTATGGGTAGTTGGCTTTAGGTCAAGTGGGAGATTGTTAGAGTAGGTGACCAACAAGCCAACTTGTGGCTGTGGTCTTTCGTATTTATTATTGTAATAAACGAACCTTTATTCGTATTAATGATAAAACACATTGGCATTCTATATCTTTGTCCCTTTGTCACAAGCATAGATATAGTCCTTACAGTTATTACAAGTACTAGTAATTGATCGTTAGGATCGTGAGATATTTACTTAAGTATTATAACTGTTAAACGTGTTCCTAGTCGAAGGGTTACGCCACTAATGAGGATATCGGCCTTTCCCATTAAGACTAGCACTTAGTGTATGTGTACTGCATCTCATCAGTAAACGGTATTGTGATATCGGCATGCACAAGTGGGTGCTCGTAAGTTGACGAGTTCACTGAACTCCCTCACCCTAGAAATCTCTAAGTGGTTCCCAATAATCGAGTAGAGATATCTATGGTATAGTTGTACACCATTAGTCCTTATGACCTAGACATCACCGTGACTTCACTAGAGGACCAGCTGTATCGTGACCTGTCCCTGAGTTCCACCGAGGACCATCCCAAGGGCCAGTGTTCGTGGAGTCCGAAATCTAGTGGGAGGTCTGTGCATTGTAGTCGGGGATTCGATCGCTAGAATAGTCTTGGATGTCCTGTGTGTTCTGAAAGTTTGTAATCATTCTAAGTCTCTGGCCAGAGCTGACTAAGTGATGATTAGAGGATTCGATTCTCTAAGTCATGCACGTAATGATTACAACACTTAGAACGATCGCACCGTTATTGAACATATAAAGAGGTCTCGATGAACCAATGCCTCTAGTTCGATCGGGACATATAAATCGAAGGGACCGTACTGTACGTTAACTATATCTGAAGGTTCTTGCAGGCACTTCATTTGTATCTAGGGAATCATGACGCGTAGTTGCTAGACGCCAATCTTGATTCGTTGGGTGATTAAGGTGAAACGAGCTTCATCTTAATTGTAACTCGAAGGGGACGAGTTTTGACCACAAAGAGTTGTGGGCCCACGGCTAGCTTACACCTGAACCATCGAGGGTCACACTGCTCGTGCACATGAGATCTTTGAATAAACGGTCAGAGATAAAATAGTTTATCTTTGCATAATTGGAAGTCAATATGATTGAGTCCAACATTCGTAATTTGGAATTATGAATGAGAATAAGAAAAGGAAAAGAATAAGCGAACATGTTAGTGAACTTTCTAAATCGGGAAGTTTCCAAATTTAGAAAGTCCACTGAACTAGGGTTTCCACTTTTGGAAAGTTGGAAAATAAGAGATGGCACTCGTAATGACGAGAAAATTATAATGACTCGGAAATTGTAATCGTTACAATTTTTCGATCATTGAATTGAGAGATACGAGCGATTAAAGAAACTAACGAGCTTAAGCTGTTGGGCCCAGTCCAACTTAAGCCCGCTAGGGTTTCATGCTAGGGACTATAAATACATGATTTATAACCCTAGCACAAACACACAAAAACCCTAACCCTAATCGGCCACCCTCTCTCTCTCGCCCTCTCTTCCGCGCGGCCACCACCGCGCCACCACCGCCGCTCCGTCGCCGGAAACGGCCGTTCCTCGGCCGGCTTTTGTTCGGTATTCTTTCTCCTTTATTTTCTTTCCGTTTTATTCTAACTACTTCGTGTCTAGTGCCACGATTTAGTAGATCGAAGTATACGAGGTGAAATCCGAGAGGAGGAAGACCGTAGATCGAAGAATCGAGGAGCAACGCACGAGCCGAAGCCGCACGCTGCCCCACGCGCCGCCTCGCACAACCGCGCGTGCTGTACACGCGCCGCCGTGAGCTGCCACACCGCCGCTGCTGCTGCTCCATTGCTGCCCCGATTCTACGGATTGGTTTCCGTAGTAATCACGACGAATCGTTCGCTCCTACCTCACGCGTTAAGAGGTAAATACTCGAAACCCTAGTTTCGTTTTAGGGTTTAATTTAAACTATGATTTCATGCTTGTGTTTGTATGATTTTATGTGATTATGTGTAATCGATTAAATCGTTGCGAGCATGTTATTTGGTTTAAATTGCGAGCATGTTAATTGATTTAAATTCGGTTAAATTTATTAGCATGTATGTTGTTTTTAATTTCGCTGGAAGCGCAAAGGTACGCAATTAATTGATTTAATTTGTCGGGCATGTACTTGTGTGCTTTAAAGTGGTTTAAATCACGTAAAATTTTTGTTTTCCGCTGCGTATGCGTGCCCGAAACCCAACATAATTTTGCAGGCTTTTACCATTCTTTGCAATATTTTTTCTATTTCGGTGAGAGTATAGTTCTTCAAGCTTTCATCCGATATATGTAAATCTTCAACAATAAAAAAATGGATAAATTATGTGCATCTAGTTGAAATCGTACAGAGACAATATTAAAAGAATGATTAATACGTAAAATCTAATTGAATACAATGCCATACAAATTGTCATACCTGGATTTTTATGAAGACGTTGTTGTTTGTAAGCAATACCCTCAACCAAATCCAACCAACAACTTTGCCAAACATGTTCGGGCCGACTTAAGCTATTGGAAAGCAGCATAACCGCAAATAACCTTCTTATATAATCCCCCGATGCCCAAGTATTCACTTCTTTTATTGCATCTATGTATTCTTTGTCGTCATCTAGCAAACCCAACACATAACATGCATCCCTGAACGTAGGGTAGACGATGTCAAAAACTTTTCTGATGTCCTCGTAGCACGTGCATCCCCTTTGAATGTTAAGTAGCAACCTAAGGTAATAGACGACTAACATTGGCGAGCCGTTGTAGACCTATGTAC